GCCTTAATCTTGCAGCGATATGGACGGCTTGAGCCATCTGATATCAGGTAAACACCAAATTCACCCTTTGGTGCTTCGATTGCCGTATAGGTGGCCCCTGGTGGCACCTGATAGCCCTGGGTGAATAGCTTAAAATGATGAATTAGAGCCTCCATGGATGTTTTCATTTCGCTGCGAGATGGTGGTGTCACCTTCGCATCATCGGTCTTCACCTCTCCAGGTGGCATTTGATTAAGACATTGATCGATGATGCGCAAGGATTGACGCATTTCTTCAATACGACACAAATACCGATCATAACAATCTCCTTTGGTTCCGATCGGGACATCGAAATCAACAAGATGATAGGCATCGTAGGGCTGTTGCTTGCGCAAATCCCATTTGATGCCAGAGCCACGTAACATTACGCCACTAAATCCATAGTTGAGCGCCTCTTCGGCCGAGACAATGCCTATATCTTCAGTACGTTGCACCCAGATCCGATTTGTGCTCAAAACATCCTCAACTTCATCCAAACGCTCACCAAACTTCGATGCGAACTCATATATATCATCCAGAAGACCTAAAGGCATATCCTTTAAAATAAATCGACCAATTATCTTATTAATACATATAGCGATTAATTAATATTACTAATGAAACTCCACCGGGACGTATGTAGGCGGCATGCATACGTGCTCCCGAAACTCGCTCATAGAATTCCATCATCTTCTCACGTTCTTCAAACAGCCAAAAAAATGGAGTTAGTGCACCCACATCTAATGCATGAGTTCCAACAGCCATTATATGATTGAGAATTCGAGTTATCTCAGCGAAAAGAGCTGCAAAAAATAAAATAAGATCAGGGAAGACAAGAGAATAGAACATCTATAGAGAATGATATATGAGCGGAGCTGAGTCGTCGGTCTACCCTTAACAATCGTTGCACGCGACTACCTACTTCTTATATACTTGGCACGCAGTGGCACGTCAATGTTTAGAAGTTTCTCCACAGCTAGCGAATAGCACTGCTCGTTGCACATCATGGAAACATAGTCCAAGCGATCAAAGTATGGTAGTGCTTGAGTGTAGGTCTTGTACTCGATTAACTTCTCGGTACCACGATGTAGAAGGCCAATGTGGGGATCAGCGCGCATCACAGTCTAGCAGGTAACAGCGAAAAAAAAAAAGAAAACAAACAAAACAAAACAAAAATAGAGAAACACACTGGACGAATATTCAGACATTACCTCGCCATCCAGTTCTAGCACCAGTCTCAAGACACCATGAGCAGCCGGGTGTTGAGGTCCAAAATTTAACGTCAGATTGCGCACAGATTTCTCAACAGGCACCACTTTGCCTGTTGCACACAAAAAATTTGTATATATGTATGTATTTGGAAAAGCATTGTATATAACGTACTGTTCCATGGGGGAACCTTCCAAAGGGAGGTCACTTCATCGGGATACATAACTGCGCCGCTAAATTGCTTCATGAATTCAGGATCTGGATACCATTTTGCAGCACCGCGATATTGGTTCGAGCTGGTCGAAGGATATAAGTCGAAAAGTTTGTAATCCATTTTTTCCAGATAGAGAGGTGGTTATGTAAGTAATGTACTTCACCTCAAGCTGCTGCTTCCACCTGCTGCTGCTGATGTTAATGCAATAGAGGATTGTGCTTTAAACAGTTGTGCCCCAACGCCTAGAGAGCGTTTTAAACTCAGAGACAACATTCTTAAAAAAGTTGACTAAGCTTCTTTTTTTTAAAAGCAGAGCTATCAAAGCAATGGAAGGCTGAACAGCTGTTGCGTTGTAGCACTAGTGCTGCAAAAATATCGGATCGGTATCGCTGTAATCGATATTTTAAAACTTTGGGAAAACATCGATATGGCTATCTTAGCATCGATATATCGAAAAATTGTTACTTTGGCGTTGACTTTGACTGTGTAAGAACTCTAACATCGATATGGCTA